AATGTCAGTGTCCCTGTAGTCATTCTTCTAGTTTTTCTCACTTGCTTCTATTAGTATAACCGTGTTTTTTCTCAAATTAGATATTTTGACATTAAAAAAAAGAAAATGTTACCTCTATCAATTTCAGTTCCCTGCTTTAAATAATCAATCTTTTCATTAAAAATGTGCCGTACTTCTGACTTCACGGGAAACAGCCCATTCTGCCCAAACCACATGAAGTATAAGCAGTCTTACTGCTCTTACTGATAAGCCCTTGGTGTATCCTGAAAGATGTGGTGGCTCACAGGCATCTGAATTTTACTTATATTTTTGCAGTGGCTGAAGGCTACTTTGGTATCTGAAGCCTCATCTTTCCCTAGAAATAATATGAAAAGCAAAGCTGATCATGCATTGCTGGGGAAGTTTTGCTCCTCCCTTATTATCATACACATACATGCACGCAGAGTTATCCAGAGATCGGTAGGCATTATGACAATTGACTTTTCCTTACAGGTGGAACTTTGTCATTAGTACAGATTATGATTATAATTTAAATGTAAGTTTTGGGCAGTACTCTGATTCTTGTGAGTGGTCCTATTTGTTCCTGTGCCATAAATAGCTGTGATTTGCAAAATACAGTTTTATAGTAAAAAGGGAGAAGAGGAGCAGCTTCTAGAACAGCTTAAATAGTAATATCCAGAGTTAGAATGAAGTATTAATAATATATATCAGGCTGCTAAAATGTTTATCTTTTACAAGAGTTGACCTGTCATGAGACATTTCTAATTAGTATGCTTATAATAGAAATAATAAAATGTTAATAATTTTATAGCTTTTGAGAACTTGAAGTGCTTCTAGGGCAAATAAAAAATGAAATTCTAATGTTTATGCAATTTCAATCAATTTAAATACTCTTGCATAACTAGTAGTTAGCATACTATACTGAGTACAGGATGTTTACTGACTTGCCACTGGGCCCATACAGTAAACATTCCTATAAAGTAGAAGGCTTTATCTTTATAGACCCTGCAATTTAGAATACTGAGCTTTTGGGACCCCAACCTCAGTGTATGTTTGTTGTCATCTCTTTTTGGGGATGAGAAGACAGGGTCTTGCTTTGTAGTGCAGAGTGGCCTTGAATTACGTAGCCCTGGCTGGCAGCCAGCCTCCTTCCTCAGGCTCCTGAATGCTGGTATTATAGGCATGTGCTACCACACCTATTTTACTCTTTTTAATGCCTTAAATAACAGTTTTCAGCATGAGATCTTCTATTTATTCTCCCTCCAGCTTCCATTTGCACATTTGATGAACCCTGTTGAACCCAGAGAGAGAACAGACAGGACTTGCTAATAGATCCAGTTGAGAACTTATATATTTATGACTTGAGCAGCAGCAAGGTGGGTCAGTCAGTTACATCACTACTGAGAATCTGACCATTAATCTGTGATTCCAACCAGTGTTTAGTGGAGTTTACTGATCTCTGAAAAAGAGAGGTTTGGATCCAGACATAGGAAATATTATGTGTACCAGATATGGAAGTTTACATATGAAAGTTTATCTAAGGATAAAAATCACAGCCTCATGTACTCAGTTGAGTTCTAGATAGTTGAGGGTTCTACCCTTGACTTCAATATGGTGTTGCTCATGGTCTTGTTTTAACCCATGAAGCCCTGTGAACACAGTTGCTTTTGCCAGGCACAGTCCTAGAATTCCATCGAGGAGGGCTGAAACAGGAAGATGATTTGAGCTCAGGAGTTTGAGGCCTAGGCATAAACTCGACCTCCCAATCACCCAAGATTTCTTTTTTCTTTTCTTTGTGTGTGTGTGTGTGTGTGTGTGTGTGTGTGTGTGTGTGTGTGTAAGTAACTGGGGATTGAACTCAGGCCCTTGTGCTTGCCAGGCAAGCAATTATTCTACTGAGCTCTCTCCCCAGCCCCCTCAACATTTCTAATACTTGTACAAATTCCATTTGTAGTGTTTGGCATAAAAACTATAAGACTGTATTCTCAGAAATCAAATGTTTGGATTAGGTTTAAGAAAGGCACATCAATATGAAAGCTCAGAAGAGCATCTCAGGAGAAAAAGCAAAAGACTATATAGAGTCAGTTGATTATTACCAATCAGATACTTTATGATCAAAATTACCTTAGGCTAGCCTTTAAGCCATGTTTATGTCAGGTAGCATAACTTTTACTATGTATATGTAGAGGATGTGAATGTAAGATATCAAATAAACTTTGTTGCTTTTATAGAGTCAATTTAGATATTTGAGAAAAAAGTTACAGAAAAAAAATCTAATGACAATTTATAAGAATTTTACATTAACAAGTATTTTTATTTTAGGATAATACTCAGATTCAATAATATAAATTTACAGAAAGAAATAGGATAAAAGTCAGCATGTACCAAAACTTGTTTCTTAACAAGTTTCTTTAAAAAAAGAAAAAGTTTCGTAGTTCTTGAAGTAGTTTGTGTGTGACTTCGAGTCAAATATATTTATAGTCAAAATAATTAGCTGATAAAATTTATTCATCAAATGATTTGGAAATAGTTCTGAGAAAAATGTAAGATCATTAAATAGCACACCTTAAGAATATGACTGTCAGATTATGCTGTTAGTTCCTAAAGGGTATTCATTTCTGGTTGTATGTGCATATAAAGGACCATGCTTTTAAAATAATCATGCAAATTGTCTTTGAATTCGTTCAAGAAAAGGAAGACATGTTCGGATCGTGTCGTAAGCTCCCAGACTATAGCCAGTTAAAGGACATCTGAAAATTAGTAGGTAGATACGATTTTTGCCAGAGTTAAGATGAATGAGCAGGTTGCTGTATATATATAGGTGAGGTGTTTATGAACTCATCCTTGCTGGTGTCCGAGTGTAAGGAATAGCCCCATGACCAGACCTGTTCACAGTACTTCTGTGTGTGTGGATATGTAGTGGTCAAACATAAAATCATGGTAATTGGCGCCTCCATTAGGTTATTGGCTTGAGATAAAAATGACAGTTCTGTCATTCTGATGTTAAAAGTAATTGAAGTGCTATTTGATGATGGTCATGCATAGGTTCTGAGTGTCATCCAGAGCATAGGAAATGCTAGAATAAGCGTGGATTTCTGAGGAACATTGTAATTCCAAAATAGCTATGTCTCCTTCCAGGCTTTCTCTGGAATGTCATCTTTAATGCAGCCTGTGCCTAAATCATGAAAATGAATACTTTTCCTGAGAGTGGCTTGGAGGAATCTACTATAGACAGAAATTAATGTTGAATTGTTGTTGGACAGAATTTAGAGGATGACAGACAGTAAAACTCACTTTGTAGAGAGCATGTCCGAAGAAAGCCAGGCAGTCACAAATGAAGTAGTAGACTTAGTTACTGAGTATTGGAAAAGGCTATCTGATTGTCACATACTTAATCCTGCTACCTATTCATATGTCACATACAATAAGTCAAAGTGATTCCATGCCATGGATATGAACATGATGGTAAAGAGTTTGATGTTCATTTCCTTACATTATAATACTAGTAGCAGCTAGAGAGGTCTTGAGGAAAATTAACTGAACTGTTCAAGTTTATGAGCTGTTCCCTCTTCTCCAAGTCCAAGTTACATACATGCATCTAAGGACAAATTGTTTTGGGGGCAGAAAAATTAGCAATTTAGAAAAAAGTGTTTTTTATGGAGCAGCTGTAGTAATTATAAACTGAACACTAATACTTAAGTTTATATATTAAGTTCTTTATGTCCTTAAGAATCTTATGTGGGGCTGGTGAGATGGCTCAGTGGTCTAAAGCACCTACTTAGAACAAACTAAGCTAAGCAAAGCACAGGAACCACGGTTCAATCCCCCAGCACCACATGCCAGCCAGCCCTGCCCCCTGGTGGGCTGAACTGGCCACACACACACACACAAAATAAATAAATTAAAAAAAAAAAAAGAATCTTATGTGAGTACTCTAATTCAGAAATTCAAGTAGTAGAATGATCCAGGACCAAATATTTGCATTCAGCCATGACATTGGCTATTCTGATCACAGGACATGGGAAATTACATACACCTTCAGTTCTAGTGAGACAAAAAAACTTTTAGGTCTGCTTTTTTATTTACCAGCCTCGATGGCCAAGAACAGTGTGACTGACATAGCTCTTGGAAGTTGTCCATCCCAGTCAAGCTGTTTTTCTTACTCAGTGCTTTACATGAAATCTTTGGGAGACAGGCTTAGCCACTAGAATGGTAATACATTGCCTACCCAGAAGGGAGAGCCAATCTGGACACAGATGTCTACTTAAATGTTAATAAAATAACATTGTTATAATTGTTACAAAATAACAGTCGTTTAAAAGAGGGGAAGGGAGCAGAGCTTAGTAGAAAGTAGGCATTCCTAGACTATTGGACAAAATAAGCTCTTAGTATCAAGATGTTGGACTATGCAAAATGCCTTACTGGATTGAATAAGTAAATTGGTGCTGCAGTGGTTTTTCTTTTTTCCGGCCTTCTCTCTTCCATCTCTGAATAATGAAGAGTAACTGTACTTAGAAAACAAAACAAAACAAAAAAAGCGAATTTATGTACAATACCTTGCTTATCAACACTGACCCACATTGCTTTCATTGCTTTTACCCATTTGCCCACTAAACAGATGGCATAGTTTAACATGGTTCACTTGTTTTTTGTTTTGTTTTGTTTTACCATCTCTGCACCATTCATTTTTAAGTGACTTAGACTCCATGTAGTACTAATCCCAGCTGTAGGAAGAGCTTTGACAGCAATGGTGTCTGATTTCCTGAGTCTGTAATTTATTTAATGACATTCTTGTCTTCCCTATGCCAAGACCATGCCAAGGCACGTACTTCATTAAACAGAAAATGATTCACATTTTCTACTATTGGTAACATTTAAATCAGCATTCCAGATACAGCTTGAAAGACCACACAGCTCATTGTGCAGTGGAAGCAATGTTCTTGTTCTTTTTGTAATGTGAAAGCATTGCTCATGCTGTGCCTTGGAACTTTTACTTGCAGATGCTAATGCTGGAGACCGTGGACAGACCAATAATGCTGCTTCTGCATCAGCTTCCAACTCCACCTGAACAATCGGAGCAGCGAGCTGCATAGGAAGAACCACCAGTTACTTGAGGGTCACTCAGCAACACTGGTCACGTTTGGAAAGAATTAAAAAGAGAAAAAAAACTTGTTCATTTTAGTGTTCAATTTTTTTATTATTGTTCTTATTTAACCTTGTAAAATATCTATAAATACAAACAATTTCATTCATAAGACTGCGGGAGACCCAGGGGTGGGAGGGTTTATGGGAGGGGGAAAGCGGAGCACTAGAACACATAATCTCTCTCCCACGACAATCTTTTTGTTTGTTTGTTTTAAATCAAAAATCTGCTGTTGTATACTTTAAAAACAGGACTTCTGCCTCATGCCCCTTCCACAAAGAAAGAAAACTTTGTTCTGTGCTAAGGGTTGGTTTTTTTTGTTTTGTTTTGTTTCAATTGTTTTCTTTGAAGGTCTAGTGTAAGACTTTGGTATAGTGCATAACTTGAAATTGGTTGGGAGCTTAGCAGGTGTAACTCACTGGGGACTTATGTGTCACTTGTAAAAATCCACATCCTCTGGTATTGGAAGGCATGTTGGTGACAAGGATAGCAGACAAAAATGAAATGTGTATCACATGTAACCCAGTGATGTCAGTAAAGTTTGGAGCCATGAGGACAAGATTCTCAGTTGACTGATCAAGGTTTATTTTGCTCTTAATCAATACTAGTAGTGAAGAAGCTGGTATAGGAGGCTGCCAAAGAGGAGTGACAAGCAGAACTCTGGCCTGCACACTGCAAGGTGAATCTTTGTTCCCCTGACCAAAGATTCTTTGCAGTCTTCATACAGTTTTAAATTGGTGGCTTTGGACACTGAAAAGCGTGTTGAGGCGGAAGTCTCTGGAGAGGTCAAAGACTGATGAGGCTAGAAGGTGGCAGGCCAGAGGCACATCTCACCACTGTGAATGAGCTTGTCCAGACTGTTTCTAAAGTCACTTCCCTTGGAAAGATACACTTGAGAGAGGACATTATAGTAAATAATGTGAACTGTAACCGTCTACTGCTTTATTTTTTTGTATTTTTAATTAAAAACTAAGCTTGCAGGAATTGCCACAGCTACACAGTTCTAATTCTAAATCCAAATCTAGACTATTTAATTTCAGCTTTTTTAACCTCATGCTTTTTAAATTTATTTATTGATGCATGTCAGATAGGCCATTATGATTTTAGATGGTAGGAACACACATCAAAATAATAATCACCTGTACCTGCTGACTTTATAGGAAAACTGATTATATAAATGTATGTATATATGTTCTGTATACATGTACTCAATACTGCCTTTTCTTTTTTGTCTACATGGTATCAAAATTGACTGGTTGAAGCATGAGGAGAATGTGTCCGCCACTCACCCATCCAGTTAAGATTTTTTGTTTGTTTCTTTCTCAGTGAATGGTGTAAGAATCAGTCTCTTGTTTATGAAGAAAAAGCAATATTCCTTGGAAAGCAAGGAGGATTGAAGGTGGGGGAGTAGATTTTCATAGCTGGTTTGTTTTATATTTTTAAGGTTGATATCTCTGTGGGCCTTACATACTCTAAAATGAACCTTAGTCACCTTGGTGCTTATGGGCCATTACTTGACCTATGAATCTTTAAGGCACAGTTACATTTTACATTTAAAGATCCCTTGAGTGATGGCCGCCTTTCCCTCTACCCATTCCTTCTCCACATGCCTTCCAGGGTTTGCTGATAACTGTAGACCTAAGAGCTGAGCCCTAGGTGGTGTGGAACCCCCCCTCTACCCTTGTCATTGCCACCTTAGCTTGTGTTAGGGTGGCTCACCTTCCAGGTGGTTAGGGAGTAGAGCCTCTTGGCAACCCTCATGCAGGCCCGAGCGCTCTGTCCTGCTTCCTCACCCTGTGTATGTGACTCTCCAAGAGAGTTTTACTGCCTGTTGGAGTGGTGAACAGTACCCAGAAAGACAACTGAGAGCCATCTTAGTTCTCACTCATTGTTTAGCTAAGCTTAGGCAACAGAAGGGGTTTCTCATACCTCTGGTTATATCACAGTTCATGAGAAAGGAGACATGCTCAGTCAAACCAAATCAAATTTAATTTTATTTTCTATAAAATGCTTCCGAGAACTAAGCCTTGAAAGAAGTTTGAAATCAAAGTATTGGCAGCATAGTTCTTTAAAGGGATTGGCTTTGATAGACGACTTTTAGGAAAGATGAGTAAAGCATCGCAACAGGCAGGGCTGTGACAAGAAAATGGACCTGCTTTCAAATCAAACTGCCCAGCCAGACATTTGGATACAGATACTCGTGAGGGCCTGGTATACTTGCTGGAGTCCATAAAAATAGTGCTTGTTTTAGAAAACTTCCCCACATCCAAATGGAATAAGAGAAGGAGAAAAGTAAGGCGCTTTTCTCCACCCCTGTGTGCGTGCGTGTGTGTGTGTGTGTGTGGCTGAGATGCACAATTTTTCCTTCTCAATCATGGCGGGATCACAGAACTCTTTTATACAAGTGAGAGCCAGGTCTCTGAATATCTTTTTGTAAATAATAATAATAATTAAAAGCTCCTCACCAAATTCAAGCTTGTACATTATATTTTTTTCAATATTTTTAAGTTTTATTGTTTTGTATGTAAATATATGGACCCAGGAACTGTTATGAATGAGCAAAAAGTTACTGTTCAGGGGAGTGATTCTGTTTAATAATCAGACAAAATGTAGACGAGCTTTTTAAAGCCATATAGTTTTAACTCTGTACAGTAGGTACCGGCCTGTATTATTGTAACAATAACTCTAGCAATGTATAGTGTATCTATATAGTTTGGAGTGCCTTCGCTTCCATGTGTTTAGTTTTTTGTTTTGTTTTGTTCTTTTTTTTTATTTTTCATTTTTAGAATTTGAATTTGTTTCCTTTATCCATGTCTCCCTGTACATCCCTTATCCTTTTTAAAATAGTAACAACAGTATCTTTGCCCCTCCACAGTTGTTTCAGTGATACCATGCTCAGGAGTGGGAAGAGGAAACGTTACTCATGATCTCATTTCATTCAAGCCCTGGCTTTGTTTTAGTTTGGATATGTTTCCTCTTCAGCAGTGACCAGTTTCATTTCATACGTGGTCCATTCAGGGATTTAGTACTGAGAGCCCTAGAGCTGGAGGATATCAAATAGATTAGATTTTGCTCATCTCTTCCACAAGCCCTAACCATGGTCCTCAACAGCAGATTGGCGAGCCTTCCATGGTCTCAGTCTCTTTCTCCCCCCACCTCTCTCTCTCTTTCTTCTTCTCTCCTTCCCCCTCCCTCTATCCCTTTCCTTCTCAAATGAGAAAGAGAAAAATGATTAGTGTTTTATAAATCAAAGTATCATCATGTATTGAGTTTTGAAGTGCCAGTGGTCTAAAATGTTCTAGTACAGTTACTGGCAGCCTATGGCATGGAGTTCCTCTGTGCCAATAAAGGACTTTTAACATGGGGACTCTTAGCCCATTCCCTCTCTCCCACCATCTCTGCCTACCCCTATTCAACGAAATGTCATTTTAATTTCTTTTAAAAATCAGTTTTTTACTGTGTGCCCAATATGTAGGCCTTTTTTAAAAGAAAAAATATATATAAAATATTTGTTTTGCCTCCAAGTACTCCATATAAAATGTCTTGAATAGAAGAAAATACCAAACCAAAGGTTACTATTTTTGAGACATCATGCATTCATTCCAGCAAGGCAGAAGACTGCACCTCCTTTCCAATGATATGTGTCATTTTTAAAGTCCTCTTTAAGTTTTAGGCCCATCTTCTTAGTTTGTGCCTAACCAGTCGTCTTTGTCTACACCAATGCAAAGGTTTGAGAGAACTGTTGTATTCTCTGTTCCTGTGGATATAAAGACATTGGGATTTCATTTATTTTCCCCTTTCCTTTTAAAAGGATTAAACTTTGGAATCGTCCAAAGGAAATTTGGTCAATACCAGATCCCCAGGAGTTTGGGTTTTTTTGTTTTAAACCAAAATCATATCTGATTCCTATTGTTCATGTTAGTGATAATTGTATCACAGAGACAAACACTTTTCTCTCCTATATAGAAAAATAAACATGTTTTACAATAAAATCCATCTTTCCTGGTAGAAACCTGAGCCACTGAAAACAGGAGACAATTAGAAGCACAGTAATCCCAGACTAAGGTCTACCTTTGAGAGGCTTTGAAAGTAATCCCTGAGGTTTGGATTATTTTCACAAGGGTTATGCTGTTTTATTCGACTTTCTTGCTCCGTTTTGCATCTCTACAGTAAAAGCAAAATGACAACCAGTACATAAGGGGTTAGCTTGACAAAGTAGACTTCTTGTGTTAATTTTTTGGTGTTTTTTTTTTCCTTACTGTATCTGTCTTCAGGCAGATACAGATAGGTGTATGAAAATGTGCTTGCCTGTAAAATTTGCATTTATAAATGTGTTGCCGATGGATCACTTGGGCCTGTACACATACCGATTAGCGTGACCACTTCCATCTTAAAAACAAATCTAAAAAACAAATATATATATATATATATATGGACTGTGGGTTGTATACAAACTATTGCAAACACTTGTGCAAATCTGTCTTGATATAAAGGAAAAGCAAAATCTGTATAACATTATTACTACTTGAATGCCTCTGTGACTGAATTTTTTTTTCATTTTAAATATAAACTTTTTTGTGAAAAGTATGCTCAATTTTTTTCCCTTTCCCATTCCCTTGTAAATACATTTCGTTCTATGTGACTTGGTTTGGAAATAGTTAACTGGTACTGTAATTTGCATTAAATAAAATGTAGGTTAGCCTGGAAATGAAACTAAAATTCACAAGTGTGTGGTCTTTATTTCAGTACCCATCTTTCTTTTTTTCACCCTATTTTTGCCACTGCAATATGTAATCACCATCTCCGTTCCTCTAATTAGGGAAACATGGATATTTGTTATAAAAAGCTAGGTGTAAACACCATGTCACATTCTTTTAAATGACCTTACTCTGCTATTATAGCCACAAGAGGTGCAGCTTCCAGCTTGGAAACCTTTGGATTCGATGTGAAGAAAGTTTTGCAGACATTGCTTTGAAGAGAGAAAACAGCCCTAAAAGGGACAGGTGTAAAAACATGTATAAGCTGCTGTCTTTGGTTACTGTGCTTATAGTTTGGTGTAGCTGTATTTTTTTTTTAGTATTCTATTAGTAATGATCTTTGGGGGTCTCTGTACAATAATATGAATACCACAAATGGGAACTGTACCTCCCAGGTAACCAGTACGTTGTGTTTGAGTCTGCTCATTTCCAATACTGGATGGTGTATGTAAACATGTTCTGTCTCTTAGTGCAAAAAGAAACTTTAGGGCTGACTCACTGTCAGGCCTGATCTAAAGGCTAGATATAAGGTCATGTGACTGCTGCTTCAATAAAAAATTTATATTCCACAAAGTCTGGTCCTGTTTACTGAGGTGGGGTGGGATCTCATTCCATTCACATTTACAGAATGGCAAAAGGCACTGGGGGCCTGGACCAGCAGAAGTGGAATGTTACTTATGATATAGGCCTCATGGTGGCATTGGAGTCTGTTTGTTTAGAATTTTGTATTATCTTGTTTAGGTGCTATTTGAATTGGGATTGAGCTAAATGTCATGTAAGATGTTCTTTCAATTTAGAATCCTGAAAGACTCCCTATTTGGTTTCTAAGTCTTTCTAAGGGGCCACAGAAATAGCTAAGCAGTCTAAGTGCTGGCCTGGCAAGCACAAGGACTGGGTTTGATCCCTGGCACCACATGCTGTGCTAGCCCCACCTCCTAATTGCTGAGTCTTTAAAAAAATGGTGACGAAAGAGTCCTTTGGGATCATGTGTAGGAAACAGTGACAGTGTGTGCCTTGATAAAGTGAAAAAATGCTCACCCCTGTCTCAAGTGTGGGAATAATTCATCTACCTATTAGCATCATCAGATTTAGAAAAGTTGTGAGTAAATACAGGGAGTACAAGCAGACAAAGACCAGCTGCTGTGGGATGGTAGGAGGAGGCTCACAAGTTGGGGCTAGGCAGAGCTAACTGATCAAATGCTTCTCTTTACGTCTTTTCTCTGGAAAGGAGAGAACACTGGGTCCATCCAGTGAAGATGTGTTCCCCATGTCCTGTGTCATCATAACAGCTTTAGGCCAAGTCAGGAACAGGCTACTAGAGACTGACGGGAGCCAGAAGGTGTGAAGTAGCTTGCTTAGGTGTTGACCCTTTATTATATAGACAGCTAAGACAGGTAGAAATTAACATGTAGTCAGAGGGATTGGGCCCTAACACAAAAAATGGGAGACATCACAATGATGGCTAGAAGCAAATCTGAGGCAAGCAAAGGCTCAGAACAGAGATGCCTACCCAGGCCTGCAAAGTAGCACCAACTTGAAGTTTCACTGAGTCCAGCAGGCCCAGCCCTCATGAGGTACCTGGACATCCAGACCCATACCCAAAAATGCCTTTGTTCTTTCCATGTAGTCTTGGTAATTGACTCGTTTCCCGGTTGGATCAGTATTAGCTAAGCAGTCTCTGCTTTTAATCCTGTAGGTTGACTAGTTTTTACCTTGTTTTACCCACACCAACCTTGTTATATAAACTACCCCAACAAAAGGCCTCGGTGGCCATCCATTCTGAACCCCTGGAAATCCAGGAGCTATTAAAATGGTCCTCTTATTTACAGTAAGCTCCTGGGCCAGGGATTTAGCCCATGGAGACAGCACCTTCCTGGCAAATGGGAGGTCTTGAGTTTGAGTCCCAGTACAAAAACAAAAACTTTAACAATAAAACTAACTTCTTCCTTTGGCTTCATTCCTCAATGCTGGGAGACCACATACTCCCTACATTTGATGCCTAACTGGTTAAGAGTTACATTGTTCCTATTGCCCTGAGCTTTAGAGCCTAGCTCAGCCCTCCTGACAACCAGGATAGGAGTGAACAGGGACCACAGAGATACCTAGAAACTGATGCTTAATTCTCAAAAAAGCTCAAGGAAGGCAGTAATGCCAAAACCCAAACGTTCGAGATAGAGAAACTGAATCTGGCTCCTGGTCTTAGCAACAAGACCAAACAAACTTGTTAAAGGGAAATATCCATTGTAAACTCTTCAACTAATGTTATATCTTAGTCTAGAGCACACTTTATATAATCTGTATAAGTCATGTACATATTCGTTGTTTGGAAAAATACCTATGTTTTGATAATCAATTCTGGGGCCTGAGAATTGACCCCAAGTCATCTTAATCTACCTCTACCTCATTTTATCCTATCCTTTATCTAGCAATAATATCAAGCTCCAGAATGAATAGAACTCTCAAAGTTATTTCTCTGGGCAAAAGGAGTTGCCTGTATTATTTATGAACACAATTGAGTGAAATTTAAATTTCTAAATCAAACATTTTTCTAATGATAAGTAATTAGGCAGAATTCCTAAGAACAAAATGAATATTCTCTGGGCTTTATATAGAGTTATCCCTCAGTTTCTTTTCTACAAGTAAGGGCTTAATGCAGAAAAGATGAGTAAATCTGAAGGGTTACATGTTTATTTGCTTTAATTTATATTTGATACTTTTAAAATTTATATTATTGATGATTTCTTGGCCTGTTTGCCTTCCTTGTAAAATGGTGAGCTCTGCAATGATCTGTTCCTTAAAATTCACTTTCCTACTGTAAAGTCATGTAACTCGGTAGTGTCCCAAGTTTTCTGATCAAGGAGATTATGAGGCCAAAGAGGAAAGTGATCGATGATGTAGAGTGCCTAAGGAGAGTCACATGGAGAGAAAACACTCTCTCAGGCTTTCACAGAGAGCACATTGGCCAAGCAATGGCCTTGACTCATCCACATGGCTGACACTGACAAAGGTTCTACAATCTGAGGTACAGGATCTCAGGATAAATCCTGAGGGGCTTTCACTGACCTTATCAGACCCAAAAGCTACAACTCTTGTTGCACAGGTCCTGCTTTACCTTGGTCTTAACCATCCAGTAGAAAAGTATGAAGATGAAATATAGGAAATAAAGCCATGTTGTTAAGTTAAGCTGAGGGGGACTCAGGTCAATAATTTCTGACATTGCCAGTTAAACAGAAGACCCAATGCTATTATGGGCTACTGGACTCTTTTAGAATATTTTGCTGAGTTTACACACCTATAATATTCAAATAACAGAACTTAACAAAAAAAAGGGAGATACAGATGAATGTCCATTTTGTATCTGTGTATGCAAAGTGATTAGGATAGATATATAGTTACATTCTCTTAATGAATAGAAGGATTTGTTCTAATGGTGTTTGTAAATAGGATCTCAAGTCCGCATCTTGTACAGCAATTAACCACTAAGAAGAATGTATGCAGTGTGTTAATTATTGAAACTGTCCTAGCGATTTTATTTGAAACTGTCTCATTCCTATTTGTTTATCAATAAAATTATGAAAAAGAAAACAAAAAAATTCACTTTCCTTGTGCTTTCATTTGCAACCAAATATTAGATATTTAAGAGTAATTCAATTACATTTTTCATTGTTATATGTATACTTTAAATTTTTCTGTAGATTATTTTACCAGCAAACCAAATTAAATAATTCATTGTTATGTTCTGACACCAGCATTCTACAGAAAGATAAACAGCAATAATAAAATAAGTGGTAAAAAGTATTATGTGCTGTTTTTTATTTCTATTTCCTCCCCCTCCCCCAACACACACATTTCTTCCTTCTCCAGAAAAGAAAGCCAAAAACGGTTCATTAGTTAAGTCATCTTGCTTGAATTCAACATACCCAGGGACATATTTGCTAAGCCTAGAGTATAACTTGTGAGAATGCAGAATATGTTCAGTCACAATCATGAACAAAGCAAACACTTTCACATGCTTTAGCAGGTATGCATATGGGAATACAGCACATAGTGATTCTGCTGACGTATTTATTAACCAACAACAGTCACCACAATCATGGCACTGAGCACCTCAGTGTTTCTGCCTCAGGGTCAAAGCCAGGACCCAGTCAGGTGGGGAGCAGAACTGCCCACCCCAAGCCATAGCCATACAGTTCCCACCGCTGCCTCCCAGAAACAGGTCCTCAGAACCCTCCTTTCAGCCCTAAGTACCCACAGATCCCTCTGGTGCAATCAGCATCCAAACAGATGTTACCTGGGTGCATGTCATATGCCATATGCCCCTTTGATCTGTGTTGTGTTCCATGATTGTTTTCTTAACAGTAAGCTCTGAGATCATGGTCCACATCTGAGTCAACAGTGTATATCCCACAGCATGCTCGGACTTAGTAACATGCTTGAGTGGATGCAAAGACCCAGAATGAGGTCAACACAAACTTCTGATAGTGTATGCCTCCTGGCTTCTCTAGAAGATTGCCACAGATGACAGTGCACTTGCTAATGAGCACAGGCCTGGAAACCCACCCCCAACAGCAACTCAGCAGGAAGGATGAGGGCGGCCCAGTGGGTGAGAAGTGGGAGGCAGGACTATTAGAGGTAGCAAGGAAGAGACTCCAGATAATGAATACAGGTATGGCAAAGGCACTGTCAGGGCTGAGTTGAATTACTCCTTTCCCACCAGGGCATTTTAGTGGGATTTCAGGATTGGTTCTCAGGCCACAGGGTCTTGTCTAAGAGAGACACATCCTTGCTTCTCTGGTGGGTCTGACCTGAAGGTCAGAGCACTGTTCATGCAGGATCCATGGCCTCCCTCTCTACAGATAACTTGAGGGTGGGGTACCTAAGGAATGCCACCCTGCTGTGGTCCCAGACTTTGTTGGCTATCAGCACCATCCAGCCAGCCTCAGAAGTCGCATCTCAGAGAGCTCTGGGTCTAGCTGTATCTATCACAAGGCACCATCAAGGCTCCACCGAAGGCCCACCATTCAGTCATCCATGCTGCTCATCAGTTCCCGCATGAGAGGCGTGGTGACAAAGGGATGAGAGTCTTGGATGCGCAGTAGCCGCTGGGTGTGCTGGGCAGTGATGCTGCGCAGCTCAGTGAGTGCAGCCATGATCTTCAGGAACAGGAACCTGTAGGCACCAGAGGAGAGGCTGGGGTGCAACCCACTTGCTCCTAGCATGCAGCCCTCACACTGTCCTAAGGGTGCCCAAATTTAACCTCAGGGTATCTCAGGTCAGCCAAGTAGAGGGTGCTGTGCTCAAGAGGCATTTGAAGTGGGAGAGCTGTAGTCTCCCTGCCCTCACCTGTCCATAGGACTCAAGTTTCTGCATCAGCAGACCTACATAGGTATTCCATATCTTGCAGTTACAAAGTGCATGGGTTAATTTGGGAGTGCTTGGAGTCACCCTGTCTTGGTTAATACCAACAGCCAGGACTGAACTAAGAAAGTTGGAGTTTATAAGATGGAATTTTTTCCTGGATCTAGAGTCTGGACATACCATGTGCTGTTGTTTCTCCCTTAAGGACAAGAAATCTGGCGCCTCCACACTTCCTGACTCCACACAGGGGAGGACTAAGCAAATAAAAGCATGGCCCCCCACAGCATCGCAGGATGCTGAACTGAAAAGTACAGGCCAAGGGAGGATTTAAGTTTCAAGTTCACACTATGATATCTACAGCTCACTATCATCCAAATTTGCCCTTGTCCATTGGCCCATGGGCATCAGACTACCCACTAGGTCACAGGGTCCCGAAATTAGGCTAGAAAAGCCCCTGTCTAGCAAGCAGCCTTCCTGTTTTGAGCCATAACCAAAACAAGGAAAAAAGAATTTCCTACTACCACTTGGTATTCTTCCTGAGAAACTAGTAAAAAGTAGTCAAGAGCTTGAGCTTTGAGTGTAGCCTGGCTGGGTCCACTACCAACCACTGCCCCTCTGGCTGGGGAACACTGGGAAACTGCTCTGAGCCATCCATGCACAGTGGCATCAGTATCCACCCCTTTTGTGGAGAACTAAAGAGATCAGACACACAAACTAAGCACCAGAGTTGGCACCTCCCAATAAGGTAGTGATTACAGAGCTATGATTCCCACCACTATTGGTGTCTCTGCTATCACTACCATCATTGCAATTATGGACAGCCGTTGCAAAAGGATCCTGAAAGAGAATAAGCAGAGTATCTGTCTCTTCCTGGCCCTGGCCAACAGGTGTTTGGAAGGCACTGGCAACAGACAAGGGTTCCCTCAATGGCACACAGCCTTAGAGGCCCACAGGTTTTCCTGAGACCTGGCTAGCACTCAGGCTGCCTGACCAGGAATCCTCCATTTAGCTCACAGAACAAAGTTCTGACATCATGATCTGTCCCAGTTACAACAATTCCAGAGAGGCCAGTGTGGGTAGAACCTGGAGGGCAGACCGGAGGCCAGGCAGGGCCACAAGAAGGACATCACACCCTCACACATCACCTCCCTGTCGTGCTTACCGGTGAGCAGGCTGGGACCGGACACACTCAATGTAGGCCTTCAGGGTGGTGGCGAATCGCTCCTGCAGCTGTTCCACCACTGCACGCTGAACCACACCTGGGCGGTCTGGGGTAGAGCAGGGCAGGAGAGGGTCAGATTCCAGTGAGGGCAAGGAGGGACAAGGACAAGCTCAGTGTCCCCCAAGAGGGGAATTTCTGACCAACCATATTTTAAAGTAGTCATTCAAGAAGGACAGGGAGGGAACCCTACGACTCCAAATCACCCCACTGACTCCAGGAAAACCCAGCTAGCATTCTACCCTGGCTGTATAGTAAGTAGGGAGCAAGGCTATTGACTGAAATCTTCCCTGGGGAAGATAGGAGAGAGCTGCTACCTCTGCAGACCAAGCAGAGATGTCATTAGCCTGGGGGAGGCCATCACCTGGGGAGAAGAGGGAGACAGCCTGCATCAGCACATACTCCTCCTTATGCAACTGCAGCTTTTTCAGCATGTAGTGGAACTTCATGACAGGATCCAGAAGAAGTTTCTGGAAGCCACCTGTGGGTAGGTATTGGATGTGAGGACAGGATCCCAGGAAGTTGACCTTAGGGCCAGTATTTATCACCAAGGTCTTTTGTTCCATCGCCCAATCTTCCTCCCTTGCACTCCCAGGCATATCCTGGCATGGCTCCTTTCACATACAGCTGTTGTGTTTCCCTCCCTCCATCAGGTATCCCTTGGGCACCTTCAGGGTCTTTGAAGCAGTAGGCCAGCCGACCACACTCCCAGATCCCAGTCTCTGTGTTGAACATTGTGTTGCATCTCAGTAGGCATATCTCAAAGGTGGCCCCCTTTAGTAGGGAGATCTGGTCCTCGATGGGCAAGTCCCTGGCAGTAATCACAGTGAGGGGATGACAGATCCCACAGAAGCACCCAAAGATGATCAGGACAGAGGTAAGATGGGGGGCTTGCCCTGAGGACTGCAGTTGTTTCCTGGTTTCCTCCAATCTCTCCTCATCATAATCCAGCTGGTGAATCCCATAATGGTCTTCTCCTCTTCCTACCATCAGAGACTGTCAATACCTACCCATCTTGGCATTCAGGTCCCTTATTTCCAAATTTGTACTTCCAAATCTGCCCTCTTCCACTGATCACCTGAAAGCTTTCCTTACTCTTAGTCAATCTTAATTTTTCTACCTGTGAGAGAAAGTGACAGTGTTACCCAGAGTCAGTGAGACCTCACATTGTGGTGTTCACTGGTAGATCAACAGATGCCACCCATGTCCACACCAGTAGGCAGACTTCTCTTCCTGTTCCTTGACCTGACTCACCACAATTTGAACCTCAGCCTGTTGCTACTCTGCCCTATTAAGTTAGTCCTGAATGTCACCAAGAAGGGCATAGGAAAACCAGGGGCTCTTGGAATATAAGCTGCCCTCTGCTTGCCAATGAAATTTGCACTTGTAGCATGTGTGATTCAGCCCCTCTTGATCAAGATCAGCGAGGCAAGGAGGCCAACCCAAGGGCAAAAACCCCAGCACCACCTCCGGGCTCACAGACTACACTGATAGCACTGTGGCTGCCACTAGACCAGAGCAGTCTCAGGTCTCCCATCGACCCCAGCTGTCTTGGTTCTTACTCTCACGCCCAGGTCTGGGAGACCTGGTCCTTTGGACCTCTCAAGCCCACTCATCCTTCCCATGGCCCACTCAGTATTCTCCTGCCTACAGATAACTGAGGGCCCAGCATCTATTCCTTTCCTTCCTATCTTCTGTGTGCACTTCCTTCTTTTTCCTTCCAACTCACCCTTTGCTCTGAAACTGTTGACTTGTTATTTCCATACGGGGGAAATCAGGAAGGGAACTACTATCTGAATGTTCACCATGTGCTGAGTGCTTTATTTCATATGACAGTCCCATATAATTGGTGTGATTAGTTCCTACCTCCAGATGGGGACCTGAGGCACAGTGGATTATGATAGGTCCACAGCCTCAAAGCTAATGAGCCATGCAGCTAGGGCACTGGTGCTCTGAGAGACAGCAAGAGAGGAAGGTTAAAAAGATTTGCCCAGATCCTTTGAACACAATTGGTTGTTCACTTTCCTTTCCATATCTATCTGCCCAGCCCCATGTCCTACCTGAAGTGGGAGATGTCTTTGGCAAAATTGATGATGCCTTTGAACATGTAGGTTGACAGGTCAGCCAGGTGGGGCAGCAGGGAAATGATCTCTTTCCCATCACTGTTATCTGGGGGTTTGTAGTTCCAGATACTGCCATCTTCCCCCCGAAGTTGCAGAGAAATTTTCACAGTGCACAGATCGTCCTTGATCTGGTTCCACGTCTCTTCCAATGGGGTCTGTAGAAACTGTGGCATCTCATGCCCACTGCTAAACACCTCTGGCAGCTGCAATGCAGGACGAGGGCAGAGAGAGGACAGATAGCAAGCACTTTCACACAGAGCCCAGATGGCCACCTGCAGCTAAGAAGATGCACAGTCCTAGGCATTTACTCCCACACACGTGTGCACACACAGTGCTTATTTCTTCCGTCTGGCCATCATCTATCAAGTGGTGTTTTCTAGACCCATGAAGTAATGGTCACACAATCTCTGCATAGTTAGAGTGGAGACAGTGGCGTCCTCCTCCCATTTGTCCCCAAGCTCCTTGCTGTTTGGCTCAGAAGACAGAGAGAGGGCAAGGAGGTGCAGAGGCAAAGAACAGAGCCAAGGCTTCTCTGTTCTAATCCAGGTCTCTGAGGTGGGCAGGTCACCTGAGATACCTGCGCACATCCTGGAAGGAAACCCATTAGGAGCAGAACTCATCGTTGAAGGAACACTTGTCCACAAAGGCCATGCCCCACCCCCAAGCCCTGACGCTGTCCTATAAAGGCCTAAAACCCAGCAGAAAGACCAGAATATCTTGGCTTTCTCTCCACTTCACAGTGAATGCTGGGGCTGCTGGACAGGACCGAGATCCTCTAACCTGAGCCTGCACTGGAATCACCAGGTGTCTTGTGCCACCTCAGTTTCTAATGAGGAGAGGGGTGGGGATTTGCGTTTTGCACAAGTTCCCAAGGTATAGTGAGGGCTCCTGCTGGAGGCCCACGCAGTGAAAAGCCCCCCCCCCGGGGGGGGGGTCGTACCCGGAAGTCCTTGAAATGGGAGAAGGTGGTGTCAAAGGTTTTTATCTGAGCTTCCATCAGCTCCCTGATCATCTGCTGCTGCTCCTCGGTCAGCCCCTGCGCTCCGGGCAGCTGCGTCTCCACCCGTTCTCGCTTCCTCTTCTTGATCAAGGCCCGTCTCTGCTCCAGAGCCGCTTCAGACATGATCACTGTGGGACATTGCGGGGCACGGTCGCCACACACGTCCCCCAACACACACACGCGCACGCACGCACACGCACTCGAGGTCGCCCTCCCTGGTTAGGCGGCACCACCAGGGGACAGTGAGATGAGAGCCTCAGCAATGGTGAGGGGCAGCTGAGAGGACCGGCGCCGCCCACCCCTCCAGACAGCGCCCTCCGCTCACTCTCCTTCTTCATGCCGCTCTCCAGGCACTTGCGCAGACGGCAGGCCTGGCACTGGCGCCGGGTCTTCTGCGTGATCTCGCACACGCCCTTGCGGAAGGGGCACCTCAGCCGCACGTTGCGTTTCATGGCCCGCCTGGGAGGGGAGGAAGCGGAAGGCAGGTTTCAGGGCCAGGTTCTAGGTCAGGGGCTCTGGCCACAGCACCGCTCTCTCACAGCCACTCAGCAGCGGATGAGGAACTCAGGCACGGGCTTTGTGGCAGAGGCTACGGCTTTGCCCTTGAAGGGCGCCAGGTCTAGGAAAAGTGTAGGGGTGGTCTTGTCCATACAATCCTTCACTCAGGTGGAAGAGCAGGGGCAGGGGAGGAGGTCACCAAGGGGGTCTCCGGGAGCATGGCCCAGCCTCCAGTCCAGCCCTCGAGGCCAGCTAGCAGCCTCCCTGACAGATGCCATGTTTCCAAGCCAGCTTCCTCATTTTCCAGGCTGTTTCATTCCTTCCAGCTGTGGAAATGAAGGGAATCCAAGCAAGGGCTGCCCAGGCAGGGATGTTTGTTGGCACATGGTGCCTCTCTGGAACAAGGGAGCCACCCTCCAGGCCCCAGCCTCTTTCCCAAGCACCTGCCCCTCCTCTCCACACTCGTTACTGAATGGTGTTCCTTGTAGAGAAGCCCTCCTAGCTGAAAGTTGTGGGTTACCATGTGCACGGCTGAGCCCCAGTCCAGCCCTGAATGCCTTCTAGGAGCTGGAATCTGATCCCCCAGAACATAGGAAAGGAAAGCACCCCCCTCCCTTGAGCAGCTGTCACTCTAGATAGGGGGGCCTAGGGAGTGGGAGAAAACTGCAAGGTATGGGGAAGCTTTCCTACTTCACTAGACGGTGGTCTCCCATTGAAGAGTTGGTTCTTGGTACAGCTCCAGGAGACAATGAAGCTCAGAGGCCTATGAGAGACGAGCGGCAGGCATTGCTCCACAGACAGTGCCTGAAGCTGGCAGGCAGTGGGGGGAATACCTTTGGGAGACTGACACAAGCACCCTCTCCCCACAGCCCAGGCATCACAAACTTCCCACCAAAGCCCCTGCCCATGCAGCCCTAGCTTGGATTCCCTTCACTTCTGGAGGGAATGAAACAGCCTGGAAAATGAAGCTGGCTTGGAACCATTAGCCAGGGAGGCTGCTAGCTGGCTTTGAGGGCTGGACTGGAGGCCACACCATGCTCCTGGTGACCCACAGGTTTGAATTCCCAGGCCTGAGCTCCCCACCAAGTGGGCATCTTAGGGAACATCTTTTCACAGGGGCCACACTCCCCCCTCACGCCTCTCCTGCTGGTCTGTGTAAGAGACCCCTCATACTATTCCAAAGTGTACTAAGATTAGAAGGGGGAAATGGGGCCACATTTGTTAGAGACATGCTATGTGAATTCTAAGCTAGATATTTTTCAGAGCTTTGAGAGTTTACTCTTTAAAATTAAAATTTATCCTCATTTGCCTGGCATAGATGCCTGAGGCTGAGGCTTTGAGCAGATATATACCTGTCTTCCAATAATGAGATGAAATATGAGTCCAGGTCTGAAAGACACTGAACCTATGCTCCTTCCCGCTACACTATGTTGCCTCCCTCCTCCCAGAAGTAGCACTGAGTGGGAAGGAGAGAGCAAGGAGCCCCATACCTTGGGCAGTGCTGCTTAGATGACACTTCAGACACCCTCTTTACTATAAGAATCTAGGTGTGGTTCAGATGTGCTCCTGCTCCCATGTAGCCCCAGAGCCTAGGCCAGCTTGGTAATGTAGTGGCTGCTGCTAACAGCATTCGCTAGGGCCATCTGTAGCCCATGTGATGTGAAGGGCTCCTCTAGGACAACTATCTTGCTCTTGGAGGAAGAAGAGATGAGCTGTTTTGTTGCTCGGCTAAACATCATGGTTATTACCTAAGACCTGGGCTCCAAGAGAGCTCTCTAGTAGGATGGCGGAAGAGGAAAAGGCAAAGACCTGAGCTGCAGGACTCAGCAACATGAAAGCCTTCAGATTTCTTGCTATGAACTGTGGCATACTTTACTTGTGGTTGAGCCAGTTTGAGCCAGTGATTCTGTGACTTTCTGTGGCATACACAGTCTGACTGTGTCAGATCTCACCCCTATGATAGCCCATGTGACAGACATTTATTGGACCTACGATAGACAGAGTTAATCCCAGAGGACCTGACAATGGCTCAGGCTTGGCCCTAACTTGCCTAAAGTTGGGATTTCTTCACGCTGGTGACACTGAACTCTCTTAACACAAAGGCCACTGGAGTACCTCCTGGGCTTAGCCAGGCTGGGAAGCCTTCCTATGAATCCTTGAGGCCAACATCTGAATCCTCCATTTCTGACTCTCAGACCAGCAACCCATCTTTCAGATTGTAGGGTGGCACCTTGGGTTAGGGTTCACTTTCATTTGGAATGTCCAGCTCCCAGGAGGACCTCTGCAAAGGACCACAAAGTTGGTATGCTAGGAATGTGCAGAAGCCCCAAGCATGGCCTTTGATTGGGCACTGCATGCCCAGTCACTCCTGCCTCTCCTCCCCTTCTTTCTAGGCTGAGGCTACCTTGCTGAGCTAGCTTTGTCTTTCTGTTTCTGCAACTGAACAATAAGATCCTTCTGTCTAGTCCCACTTTGCAATATTTTGGAGCATTCTACTCTTTAATTTTTGAATCCCCCTGTTTGTTTTTAGGTCAGCTTGCTTTATGTTTTATTTCTTTTATGCTATTCTTTACTTAACTACTGCTCTGTAACACTGACTTGAACATTTTCACTTTAGATTTTCAAATCTTTTACTCTTACTGATTTTTTATTCAAGAATACATGGAGGATCCTTCCTTCACAATAGAAGGCAATCTTTCCTGGATAAGCCCAGGAAGATTTGACAATGAAAGATTTCCCTGAGATACAAGTGTTTCACTTGGGGCTAATGAGGAGGACTTGGTGGACCACTAGTCCAGTCTGGACCTGGGAGACAGATAACACTGAGGCCCTTGGAATACCCAGGGAGTTGACAGAAGCTTCTGCTTAGGAGGGAATCAGTGTGTCAGTGGTGGCAGGTAACTCTACCTGAAAAAGCCCTTGCATCCTTCACATGTCAGGACATTGAAGTGATAGCCATTGGCTTTGTCCCCACATACACGGCAGACTTGAAGACTCCCATCTTCCTCATCTACGTTGATGGTAAGTGTCCCAGAGACAGAATCTGCTTCTTGGTAGTGTACAGGATTGGCATGGCTTCGACTTTCTTCACGTCTTACCTCCAGGTTGGCTTCTGGAATTCTTAGATCAGAAGCGAAAATAAAAATCATGGAGAATTAAAGGGTTGGATAGGGATGTAGGGAGATTGTGAGAGGAACATTCTGTTCTTGCTGAGCTTGGCTGTCATCTGAGCTCAATTCTGGACCCCCAAATTAGAAAAATGTGAGTGGGGATTTGAGCTGTTATCAAGAAAGATGTAACAATGATAACCATAGTTTCCTGAATTAGAACACATGAACAAGAACATGAAAGAGAGAAAGCTTTTGAGGAAGGAAAAAAATGGGATGAAAAAAGAGGAGGCTACCTAACTTGCATCATGGAGGCAATGCATAGGTAGACAGAGGCTAGAAGGCCATGAGCTGGGCCCAGTCCCAATCAGAGAACAGCTCCTGGAACTGGCTACTATTCAAGATGACTTCTTGGACTGGGAAGATCCAAGGAGGAGAGCCCTTCAGTTATGGTGGTACCCTTGTTCCCAGAGGGAGAGGGGTAGAAACCTTGAGCAGACAGAAGGAATCCAACTGAATAACGGAGCAGATAGAGAGATAGAGCAGAGCCAGGATCATGATGCTGGGAGTCAGTAGATCTGTCCTGGTGCAGCTTGTGGCCCTCAGTAGAGCTACAGTCCAGATGTCCTCCCTAGGCAACTTCATCTCAGGAATGTGACTTGAATTCTACTTGGATAGTCATGAAGATTAGCAAGCAGAAATGTAGGACTGACCTGTTGGCTGTACCGCCTGAAAGTCTGTCTAGAGCAACTACACCACAGATGATGTTGAATCTCTGGAGCCAAAATAAAATTTGGTAAAATTTCTGCAGACAAATTTCAGTGCATAGATGATACAGATGATACCTGATAGTGTCACCTAAAAAAGTGAATAGAATAGGCTGGGGAGATATCTCAGTGGTTCTGGGAAGCACAAGGTCCTGAGTTTGGTCCCCGGCACCACAAAAAAAAAAAAAAAAAAAAAAAAAGAAAGAAAGAAAGAAAAGAAAAGTGAATAGGAAATCAATCTGCCTCTGAACTTGGCTCTAGAAATTTGAACTGATTAAGTTCCCTTGATTTTTCAAATCATAGGACAGTGCTTACAAAAACTTCAAGCAAGATTTGATTTAAAGTACTCTTAGCCAGCCAGATAGCTTAGTGGACTAAAGTGCCTACTTAGGCAGAGCGCAGCAGCCAGGGTTCAATCCTCGGTGTACCATGCCGGCCCCACCCATGGGGTGCACTGAGATGGCAACTGAGACTGGGAGTGGTGGTGCACGCCTGTAATCCCAGTGCTTGGGAGGCTGAAAACAGGAGAATCGCTATGAGTTCAATCTACGTAGTGAGACCATGTAGACTCTGTACTAACTACATTTTTTAAAATATGCAATTTAAAGTACTCGTAGGTTAGTAATTCTGCCAGACACCCAAAGAGACAGCTGCAAATCCTGCCCTTTGAAGGAACTCACTTCCTACTTTCTGCCTGGGTACAAATAATTGCACATGTCATTTTAAACATACAGGAGCAAGCGCTCACAAATCATGAATTGAAAGGCCAGCAAAACACCATGGGGAGTAGAAGTCAGCAAAAATCAATTAACAGCAAAATTAGATGTGCAGACTCTGAATCATTAAATGCAGAATGTGTGTGAATAAGGAGAAGTTGAAGATGTAGAAGAAAGGCCATACAATTGACCAAGTAGATTTTAGAAATGAATGAAAAATAATTTTAAAATTTAAACAACATCTGTACAAACCAGCAAAAACAAAGTCTTGGGAGTTAAAAAATTTAAACAAAATGAACTATGCAATTATGCATAAGTCAAGCGATGGGTGATTACAGTAAAAGTTTTCCTAATTCTATATTGTGTGAGGCGAATGTGATAACCCCTACACTATGGGAACCACCTTTCTATATTGTAGATGAAGGAAAAAGGTAGGACATTACTCCAGTTTTGATTAATAAGGTATACTTGTTAAAGTTGACCTACTTAATGAGTAGATAAAATAAAATGCAAGGGCCAGCCAAATAGCTTAGTGGATTAAAGCACCTGCAAGCAGACGCAGGGGTTGAGGGTTCATGCAGTGCTGGCCTCATCCCCGGGGTGCACTGAGCCAGCAATTGAGACTGGGCATGATGGCGCGCACCTGCAATCCCAGCTTTTGGGAGGCTGTAAACAGGTGGATCACTATGAGTCTGATCTCTAGTAGTGAGACCCTGAACACCCTGTAGACCCTTCCCTAAAAATACAAAAATAAAATAAAATGCAAGGAGGACATAAATGAGAAACAGAAAGGATGATAGAAATATAGAAGAAAACACTGGCCAAATGTTTATGATTCTGCTATGGACAAAGATTTTTTGTCTCAGACCCCAAAAGCCCAAGCAAGAAAAGTGAAAATAGGTGAATGGATTATATCAAGTGGATTATACACAGTAAAGGAAATGATTAAAGTGAAGAGCCAGTCTGCAGAATGGGATAAAATATATGTAAACTATTCATCTGACAAGAGAATAATGGCCTGGGGAGATAGCTCAGTAGGATAAGCACTTGCCTAGCAAGTGCAGGGTCCTGAGTTCAATCCCTGGTACTACAAAGAGAGAGAGAGAGAGAGAAAGAGAGAGAGAGAGAGAGAGAGAGAGAGAGAGAGAGAGAGATTAATATCCAGAATATTTAAGGAATTCAAACAACAAAAAATATAAAAATAGGCAAATCATATAAATAGACATTTCTCAATAGAAGATATACAAATGGCTGACAAATATATGAGAAAATACTCAATATCACTAATCCCCAAGGAAATGGGAATCAAAACTACAGTGGGACATTAGCTCAACCAAATTAGAATGGCTTTTATAAAAAAAAGATACAATACAACATGTGGGAGAAGATTTACAAAAAAAGAAAGGCATATACTTTGGTGAGAATGTACATTACTACAGCTGCTAGCAAAAATAATATGGGCATGCTTCCAAAAAGTAAAAAGAAAAGTACCAGATGACCTAGGAATCCTCCTAGTAGATAAACATCCAAAAGAAATGGAACCAGTATGCCAAAGAGATAACCTATACTCCACGCCTATCCCAGCACTATTCGCAAAAGCAGGGACATGAAATCAACCAAAGTGTCCATTGATGAATGACTGACAAAACCATGACAGATATACACAGTACTATACACATAAAAGATATGTGCTCAGATATACACATAAAAAGAATAAAACACTGTCATTTTCAGCAGCATAGATGAAACTGGGTGACATTATGTTAAATGAAATAAACCAGCCACAGAAAGACAAAAACTGCACACTTATTTGTGGAAGTTGAAAAAAAAACCTCATAGGAAAAAGGAGTAGAATAATGGTCTCTAGAGATTAGAAATGCAAGTGGGGAGGGGCAAGAGAAGTTTGATAACAGTTATGAGTATAGCCAGCTAGAAACAGCTCTAGTGCTCTGCATAGCAGTAGGGTAATTATAGTCTCAAGCAATTTATATTGCAAAATAACTAGAAGAGTCCAGAGTTTGTCAATGAGGAATGTCTGAGGAGATGCAAATGCTAATTACTCTGATTTTCATCATTACACATTGTGTGTATTTAATTATTGTACCATGCCCTATAAATATGTACAAATAATATGTGTCAGCTAAAATATTAAAAAGATTTTTAAAGATAGCAGAAATACTAAATATGTTGGTAGTTACAGATAAGTATATTGAATGTTTCTATTCACAAACTCTGAGAAAAATGGATTAAGTGCATGGCTGGGATATTCTAATATTTTAGGACTTATATTTTGCAGGCAGATTTTGTATTAGAAATCAAGAGATAGGGCAGATAACAAAATGGTTACCAACAGATTGAAACTCAGTGTCCTGAGTCCTTTGCAAATAGTAACTCATCAGCTTCATCAATTTTGGCTGCAGTGACAAACTACCATAAGCTAAGCAGCTTTATAAAGAACAGAAATACGTTTCTTATAGCTCTGGAGGCTGGAGATGAAAACATGTAGATGGCAAACAAGTATATGGGAAAAAATGTGCAACATCATTGGTCATTCAAAAAGTGCAAATTAAAACAACTCTGAGATTCCATCTCACCCCAGAAAGAATGGCTATCATCAAGAAGTCAAAAAATAGCAAATGCTGGAGGTACTGTGGAAAAAGAAATGCTTCTCCACTGTTGGTAGGATTGTAGACTGGTACAACAGCTATGGAAATCAGTGTGGAGATTCCACAGAGAACTAGGATTAGCAGTCTCATGTAACCCAGCTGTTTTTCTCCTATGTATTTTTTCAGAAGAACTAAAAACAGCATACCACAGCAATACATGCATACCTATGTTTGTAGCAGCACAATTTGTCATAGCTAACTAAATCTTGGAAACAACACAAATGCCCATCCACTGAGGAACAAACAAAGAAGATGTAATACTTTTATACAATGGAGTATTACTCAGCTATAAAAAAGACGAACTCGAGACTTTTATAGGTAAATGGATGCAACTAGAGACCATACTCATAAGTGAAGTAAATCAGGCTCACATGTGTAAACATTGCATTGTTTTGCTAGTATAAGAACTTGAAAGAGTAAATAAAATCTGAAAGATATAGTAGATACTGTAAAAGGGAAAGAAGCTGTTCAAAGGGAAGGAACAACTGGGATGAGGGGAAGGAGAAAACAAAGAAGGAAAAAAGGAAATATATGTGTATACATAGAATAGCTTGGATAATTGTATCGCTGATTTCTGCTGGTTTCTTCCAAGGAACAATTAATGCTAAAACATTTCTCTCTCTCTCTCCTTTTTAATTTTTATAACTTTTTGGACCAATTTTGTATGCTTATATCTAGTAATCTGAACAACTACTTTGAAGATAACAATATGCAATCTAATAAACATTGTTGAATTCCTGTTATGTGAAGTTCTGTATCATTTCTAATTTTTTTTACTATTTTTTATTCTCTTAAAGAAATAAAATATAGTATACTTTGTACCATAAAAAAAGAAAGAAATCTGGAGGCCGGGAAGTCTAAAAT